GCCGGTGCGGCTATATATCTCTCGATTTCTCCAATTCTATAGTCGGGGCACCTTGCACAGTCCTGCTGTCTCTCAGTGTCTAATATTCTTTGCCTGAACGTAGCTTTTGCCTGGCCCAAGCCCAGACTTAGAAGGGCTTGAGGGGCAAAACCCAGTTTCTGGAGGGTGTTCAGGACTGCAGTCTGCCAGCCCGACTGGAATTGGTCACAGAGGATCAATGGGGCTATCCCTCGGGGGAGCAGGTTCAATGTCAGCCATTTGTAGATTGCTATTACGCAGATGCTAGTCTCCACTCTCATCATCCCCGTTTCCAATCTAACCCATGTGTTTGAGACACATCTGGGGACTTGGAGGAGAGCTCTAAGAAGTCTAGATTGAACTCTCTCAAGGGGGGAGAAAGCAGAGGAAGGTGGGCCCAAAAAGAACCATAGAGGAGTTGTGTCAAAGTTTTGGCCTTGTATAATTTTAGAGCTGCGGGAATGAAGAAACCCCCTTGTGCTCTGAAGAATTTAAGGATACAATTAGCAGTTTTTTCCGCTAGGGGGTGCCCAATTGGGGCTTCTCCAGGGGCAGCAGAATGTCTTGGGCAGGAGAATCCCTGCAGGGGCTCTCAGACTCCCTTGGCTTCTTCTTCTTCCCTCCCTCCCAGGAAGCTGCAACTTGCTCTGGATTCTGCGCTCCTCAGGAAGCTGAACCTGCAAACCTAGCTGAGACTGAACCTGCAACCCTGGCCAGGATGGAAGGAGGAAGATGGATGGTTGACCTGGTCAGGCTCTCTCCCGCATCCCTCCCCACAACCTCTGAGCATTCCCTCCCAGGACCCTTGGAGAAATCTGGTGAGTTCCAGGGGAGAGGAGATGGGGACAGGGACAGATGGATGGTGGAGGGAGAAAGAGGAAAAGATGGAGAGGAGACAAATGGAAGGAAGTTCCTGACAGGAAGAAGGAAGGGGAGAGGCCTTCTCCGAAGCAGCTCTTTGTTTCTTGAATCCTTTTCCTAAAGTAGTGGGGGCAGATTTTCTTCCTCCAGGCTTTGAAATCTTAGGTGTTATTTCCACGGCAAGAATAATTGATGGTAATGATGTTGCACACCAATCCTGAAAAATGGGTGAAGGGGAATGGAAATGCTTCCCATAACTATTTATAATTAATAATTAATTGATTGCATGGAGCCCGGAAGGCCCCGTGGTTTTCCACGGATCTGAGGGCAATGAAACAATCGTTGAGACGGCTAGAGCGCCGGTGGCGGATAACTCATTCCGAATCTGACCGGACACAGGTTAGAGCTCAACGTCGAGCCTACCAAGTGGCGATAGCGACGGCGAAGAAGAATTTCTTCACCGCCTCTATTGCATCTGCAGAAAACAGCAGCAGGAGACTTTTTCAGGTGGTTCACAATTTAGCGGAACCACCTGCAACATCGGGGCCCAGTACGGGCCACATGTTCTCCTGCAATGATTTTGCAAAGTTTTTTGCAGATAAAATCGCTCAGATTCGGGAAGAAGTAGACTCCACCGTGGGAGCAGGGCCGGGGCGGGAGAGTGCTAGAGTTCTGTCTAGTCAAGTTGAGTGGGATCAATTCCAATCTGTTACCTCCAAGGATGTGGACAGGCTGCTTGGGCGAGTGAAACCAACCACCTGTCTCCTGGATCCTTGCCCATCCTGGCTTATAAAAGCTAGCCGGAAAGGACTGGGCGATGGGCTTCATGGGGTGGTGAATGCTTCCCTCCGTGAGGGAGCCTTCCCAGACCCGCTGAAAGAGGCGGTTATTAAACCGCTTCTTAAAAAACCATCTTTAGATGCGGCCACGATGGCCAACTATCGCCCAGTCTCAAATCTTCCATTCCTGGGCAAGGTGATTGAGCGAGTGGTTGCCGAACAACTCCAGGCACGCCTGGAAGAAGCGGACCATTTGGATCCCTTCCAGTCGGGATTCAGGCCTCATCATGGGACTGAAACTGCCTTGGTCGCACTGGTTGATGATCTCCGGCGGGCTAGGGACAAAGGTGAGAGCTGTTTCCTAGTTCTGCTGGATCTCTCAGCGGCGTTTGATACCATCGACCATAGCATCCTTCTGGACCGTCTTGAGGGGCTGGGAGCTGGGGGCACTGTTATACAGTGGTTCCGCTCCTTCCTCCTGGGCCGTGTTCAGAAAGTGGTGGGGGGGGATGAGTGTTCAGACCCCTGGGCTCTCACTTGTGGGGTGCCTCAGGGTTCTGTCCTCTCCCCCATGCTTTTCAACATTTACATGCGGCCGCTGGGAGAGATCATCAGGAGGTTTGGGCTGGGTGTTCATCAGTATGCAGATGATACCCAGCTCTACCTCTCTTTCAAATCAGAACCAGTGAAGGCGGTGAAGGTCCTGTGTGAGTGTCTGGAGGCGGTTGGAGGATGGATGGCGGCTAACAGATTGAGGTTGAATCCTGACAAGACAGAAGTACTGTTTTTGGGGGACAGGAGGCGGGCAGGTGTGGAGGATTCCCTGGTCCTGAATGGGGTAACTGTGCCCCTGAAGGACCAGGTGCGCAGCCTGGGAGTCATTTTGGACTCACAGCTGTCCATGTAGGCACAGGTTAAATCTGTGTCCAGGGCAGCTGTTTACCAGCTCCATCTGGTACGTAGGCTGAGACCCTATCTGCCTGCGGACTGTCTCGCCAGAGTGGTGCATGCTCTGGTTATCTCCCGCTTGGACTACTGCAATGCACTCTACGTGGGGCTACCTTTGAAGGTGACTCGGAAACTACAACTAATCCAGAATGCGGCAGCTAGACTGGTGACTGGGAGCGGCCGCCGAGACCATATAACACCGGTCTTGAAAGATCTGCATTGGCTCCCAGTACGTTTCCGAGCACAATTCAAAGTGTTGGTGCTGACCTTTAAAGCCCTAAACGACCTCGGTCCAGTATAACTGAAGGAGCGTCTCCACCCCCATCATTCTGCCCGGACGCTGAGGTCCAGCGCCCAGGGCCTTCTGGCAGTTCCCTCATTGCGAGAAGCAAAGCTACAGGGAACCAGGCAGAGGGCCTTCTCAGTAGTGGCGCCCGCCCTGTGGAACGCCCTTCCAGCAGATGTCAAAGCGATAAACAACTACCTGACATTCAGGAGACATCTTAAGGCAGCCCTGTTTAGGGAAGTTTTTAACGTTTGATATTTTATTGTATTTTTGTTTTCTGTGGAAGCCGCCCAGAGTGGCTGGGGAGGCCCAGCCAGATGGGCGGGGTATAAATAAATTATTATTATTATTATTATTATGCATTTAAATTGTTTCTGTTACTCTTATTTTTTATAGACAGGGTCAGAATGATACATTCCACCAGCACCAAAACACAATAAATGCATGCACCTTCCCAGTCTGGTGGGGTTCAGGGACAAAGGACCAGTTATCATGATACACGATTCCTGTGGCTGGAGGCTCTACACTTAGGATTGGGCATATAAAGTCAAAGAGCGGATGGTATTATAAGCAAATTGTGTAAACTTGCCAATCTTACAGACTGGGGTTGTGTGTGAGAGGGAGGGAGGGAGAGAGTGGGATTATAATTTATAGCGCCCCTGTGTAATGGCTTAGTTCTCCTGCACAGACGCGAGACAACTCCAGTAGTAATTATCTCACGTTTATTCCTCAAACTCACAAATCACTGTGGAGCTCAGTCTTCAGCCTGTTCATCCCAGCTTGCAGTTGCCGAGTCCTCCAGCAAAGAAGCCCCCACTTTCGCTTTCTTTTCCCCTCTTCTCGCAGATTCTCTTGAGCCTACAATTTTTTGGACACGCTATTTCCAGGGTCTCTGTGTCAGAGCTCAAACCGGAGATAACAGTCTGTGCCCCCCCCCGACACACCCTCTTCCTGCTCTTTGTTCTTTGCTCCTGCTGCAGCTTGGCTGCTCCTCCCCTGCTTCACATTCCAACTGAATCACATCTCTTGCGTTCTCAGGCTCTGTCATCGGAGGCACGAGAGGCTTGAGATTCACGGAGCTGACACCCTGTAATTTTGTCCGTTCCTAAGCTTCCATGGAGATACTGTGGTACAACCTAGGTGCAAATTTCAACATAAGTACACAAAGCCAACAAAGAGACTCAGAGGTTTATAGTGGCACCAGCTTTCCTGGTCAAGAGTCCACTTTGTCAGACTGCAGCCCACACAAGCGTAGGCCATAATACATTTATCTGCCTTTAAGGGCTGCAAAAGACGAATAAACAGAAGCGTAGTTCATCTATGGAATCCACCCTACAGGAGACAGTGACGGCCAGCAACTTGGATAGCTTGAAAAAAAGGAAAAGACTGATGTCTCTGCTCTGCCTTTGTGGTTCTAGGCAATAACGCTTCTTGATACTATTTTCTGGAAAGCACAGGAAGGCAGAGAAGACTCTTGTGCTCCAGTCCTGCTTGCCGGTTTCCCACAGGCATCTGGTTGGCCTCTGTGAGAAGAGGATGCTGGACTAGGTGGGCCTTTGCCTGATCCAGAAGGCTCTTCTTAGGTCCCAATATATTGCAATATTTTTACAGTTACATGTATCACTTAAGTTTTACTTATTTCACAAGGGAAATACTGTTACTTGAGCCTGAGATCATTTCCTCACTTCAGAAAGAAAAAATAGATGTGTCTAATTCCACCATAGATCTGTATTATAAAACGATGGTGCGTTATTAAGTTTGAATGGAGTGATCATGTGTTGCTCTTGCCACTATCTCTTCAGCTTTTCTAAAATTTGGAACATAGAGAGGATAGTGGAGAATGAAGGTGTTAAAATGAGAGAAGGTACAGATTGGGATTGACATGTGTTCAGTTCCCTTTTTGTCTTTCTTTAAAGTCTAACAGGATTCTCTTTCCTCCCAGACTCCCAAACAGGTGAGGAAGATGAAATTCAGAATTCTATGGAGCCACATGTGAATTTATGGGGGAAAGTAAAGAAATTGAGGATACAACAAAAAAGTCACAGAGAGAAACTATTTGAATGTACGGAATGTGGAAAGAGCTTCAGTCAAAATGATACACTTAGAAGACACCAACGAACTCACACAGGGGAGAAACCATTTAAATGTATTGAATGTGGAAAGAGCTTCTGTCAAAGTGGAGCACTTAGAAGACACCAACAAACTCATACAGGGGAGAAACTATTTGACTGTACGGCATGTGGAAAGAGCTTCAGTAAAAGTGTAGCACTTAGAATCCACCAAAGAACTCACACAGGGGAGAAACCATTTGAATGTTTTGAGTGTGGAAAGAGCTTCAGTGAAAGTGGAGCACTTAGGAGACACCAACAAACTCACACAGGGGAGAAACCATTTGAATGTTTTGAGTGTGGAAAGAGCTTCAGTGTTAGTGGATCACTTAGAATACACCAAAGAATTCACACAGGGGAGAAACCATTTAAATGTATGGAGTGTAGTAAGAGCTTCTGTGATAGTGGAAGTCTTAGAATACACAAAAGAATTCACACAGGGGAGAAACCATTTGAATGTTTTGAGTGTGGAAAGAGCTTCAGTCGAAATGATACACTTAGAAAACACCAACGAACTCATACAGGGGAGAAACAATTTAAATGTATTGAATGTGGAAAGAGCTTCAGTCGATATGAACACCTTAAAATACATCAACGAACTCACACAGGTGAGAAACCATTTAAATGTGTTGAATGTGGAAAGAGCTTCAGTGAAAGTGGAGACCTTAGAAAACACCAACGAACTCACACAGGGGAGAAACCATTTAGATGTATTGAATGTGGAAAGAGTTTTAGCATAAGCGGAGCACTTAGAATGCACCAACGAACTCATACAGGGGAGAAACCATTTAGATGTATTGAATGTGGAAAGAGTTTTAGCATAAGCGGAGCACTTAGAGTGCACCAACGAACTCATACAGGGGAGAAACCATTGAAATGTGTTGAATGTGGAAAGAGCTTCAGTCAAAGTGGATCACTTAGAAGACATCAACGATCTCACACGGGGGAGAAACCATTTAAATGTGTTGAATGTGGAAAGAGCTTCAGTGATAGTGGAGCACTTAGAAGACATCAACGAACTCACACAGAGGAAAAATCACAGATACTTTAATAAATCGTATAGGTGTTCTTTACCTTTCCTTCTATGCTTCCCTGCAATACTGATAAAATCAAACCACGCCAATGCTTTCAGCCCCAGAAGAGGAGCTCCCCTTGGTGTCAAGGGAGGGGTCCAAGGGAGCATCTGGAGCCCTGCCATTCCTTCTGTCCCTGGCCCCTTCCCCTCCTCTCTCTGCCATCCCAGGGCCACTCTTGACTGCACAGCAGGAGATTGGATCTGTCTGTGATGGTGAGATGTCCTGGCTGGTTGAAGGACCACTTCCTGTTTCCTGGAGCTCCATCCTGCCTTCTCATGCAAGGTGGAGTCATGAAGCAGGTGAAGGCTGAGTACACCTAAGGGTGGCGCGGGAGATGGGTGGGATTCTGCTTAACCTTTCCCTGTCTGCTCCTTTTTTGGATCCAAATCCCCACACAAAAAGGGGCAGTGTGAGGGCGCAATCAGTGTTATGGAGCTGCACTGAAAATCATTTCTTTGTGACTGTAAGAGGCCCTTCTCAAAAAAAACAAGCATCAAGAGAATTTAAGCTATAGAATTTAAAACAAACAGATAATTACAAAAAAAGAAAGCAGTCTGGTGCCACAATGCGTAGGAGTTACTTTAGCACACTGTACCTGCGGCTTGCTTTGAAAAGAGCTCAGAAACTTCAATGGCTCAAAGAGCTGCAGACACTTTGCTGACCAGGGCTGGCTATAGGCAGCATAGGACTCCCATATTAGAACAGCTCCGTCTGCCTAATTGTCTGTTTCTGGACACAATCAATGTGTCCACAAGAAGAGGAAGATAGATTTGAGGAAGGCCAACCTGCAGAGGCACTACAAGTCGAAGCAAATCCAGTACCAGGAGTTCCAAGGGCAGCTGCACCAGGAGAAGGTCAAGGCGCTGAAAACGGACCTGTTGGGTAACCTGTGGCCCCTCCAGATGATGTGAAATTGCAACTCACGTCTTCTTTAGCCATTGGCCACGCTGGCTGGGGCTCATGGGAGCTGGAGTCCAAGGATCTAGGTCCACAAATGCCAGGGACATTTCAAATCCCTCCTCAGTCGTGAAGCCAATTGGGCAACTTAAAGCTGGTCACCATCTTTATGTGAAACCTCCCTCGCAGGGTTGCTGTGTGCGTGAAAGCAATATATCTTGTGGTGGGCTTGATGAGGGGAGTGTGGAACAGAAATGTAATTCATAGGTAAGAAGACAGGAAATAGTTCTGAATCTGACTGAAAATAAAGGATTCTTTGTCTCCAAATTGCATATAGCAAGCACCTGTGTTGTTGAACTCCAGCTGAAGTTTCAGCATCTGGTTCCTCAGCACTCTGCACTCTCTCTCTGGAAACCTCCAGCTGTCAGGTGACAGGAACCAGCCAATGCCTCCCAGTTCAGAAACAGTCTACCAAGAGCTGAGATTGGAAGTGGACAACCAAGGAAACTTAGGGGAGCATTTTCATTTCCATGCTTATGAATATTGATTTGAATCAATTCATCTGGTGTGTTCAAAATAGTTGAGAAAAGTTATGGTTGACACCACCTTGGGATAGTTTTGACAGGAATTCGGGGAACTAGGAATATTTTTAGTTCCATCAGGGTTGATGGATCAGCAAATAGCTAGAGAGGATTAAGGGGTGGGGGCGGGAATCAGGCCTTGTTTCTCATGTGACAGATAACCGATTCCACAGTTCTTAAATGTGACCATTTGCGACACAAGATCTGCCCACCAGGGAAGAATGGCAGATGAAGGTGATGGACTATATGGAACTGGCGGAAATGACTGGCAGGATCCGAGACCAGGGAGAAGAGTCGGTGGAAGAAGATTGGAAGAAATTTAAAGACTATTTACAGAAACATTGTAAAATTAATGAATGTTAGAAAGATATTGGAATGAACATATGTGGTTTTAGCAGAAATGTTATAAAGGATTAGGAAAAAATAGACTGTTAATTGGTGAAACGAGGGAAAGTAAAGTTATATCATATTAAGATAAATTACAGGACAAAAATTGTAAAAAGATGGAAAGGATTTGCTGAAATAGTTAACCGAACTAGAATACAAAAAAGGGAGGTGTGAGGAGGTCAAGAAAACAAGCTAACAAATGATAAGTTATGGGAAGATTCGATGTTTTATTTTTTTAATGGACTTTTTTCTGTTTTTGTATTTTCTTTTTTTTCTTTTCCTATTATGAGGTGTTGTTTTTGATGTTGTTTAATATGATATTATTATTTTTTCTTTTTGTAACCTTTAAAACCTTAATAAATATTATTAAAAATAAATAAATAAATGTGACCATTTGCTGCCTCCCAAAATTATGCTTAAGCCTTTCCCCTCCCCCCCAAAAAACAACAACAACTCAAACATGGTAGCTGGTCTTGTCAAACAGGCCAATATAAGGTTCATTTGGCAAGTTTGTTGTTGTTTAGTCGTTTATTTGTGTCCGACTCTTCATGACCCCATGGACCAGAGCACGCCAGGCCCTCCTGTCTTCTACTGCCTCCTGCAGCTTGGTCAAACTCATGTTCGTAGCTTTGAGGACACTGTCCAACCATCTCGTCCTCTGTCGTCCCCTTCTCCGTGTGCCCTCCATCTTTCCCAACATCAGGGGGGTCTTTTCCAGGGAGCCTTCTCTTCTCATGAGGTGGGCAAAGTATTGAAACCTCAGCTTCAGTATGTGTCTTTCCAGTGAGCACTCAGGGCTGATCTCCTTCAGAATGGATAGGTTTGATCTTCTTGCAGTCCATGGGACTCTCAAGAGTCTCCTCCAGCACCATAATTCTTTTTTTAAAAAAATAAATAATATTTATTAAAGTTTCAAAGAATTACAAAAATAAAAAGAAAACAGAAAAAAACAAAGTACAGAAAAATAAAAACAATTAAAAACAAATCAATCTTTACATGTCTTGTCTTTCATTTACTTGCTTCCCTGACCTCCTCACACCTCCCTTTTTGTATTCTAGTTCAATTAGTTACTTCAGCAAATCCTTTCCATTTTTGCTTTTATCTTAATGATTTATCTTAATATATTGTAACTTTACATTCTCACCTATTCATGATCTGTTGTCTTTTAAATGATATTTTATTAAGTTTTAAGAATAACAACAAACAGAAAAAAGAAAAAACACATACACAAAAATATAAAATTATAAAATACAAAAAATACAAAAGTTTAACTTAGAGAAGAAAAAAGAAAAAGAAAGAAAAAAGCACATTAAAAAACCCCCACAAAAATCCCTCTTTTTAATTCCTCATCTTTGATTCACTTATTTTCCTGACTTCCTCACGTCTCCCTTTTTTGTATCCCTTTTGAAAATTAGTTCAGCAAATTCATATCCAATTAATTTATCTATTATCAATCCAATCTTATTTTTTACCTTGTTGCTAGAACCCCTTCAGTTCATTTCAATGCCATTAACATTCAAAAATTTTACAATGTTTCTGTAAATAAATTTTAATTTTCCTCCAACTCTTCTCCCTGGTCTCGGATTCTGCCAGTCATTTCCGCCATTTCCATGTAGTCCATTACTTGCATCTGAATTTTACCTAATTCTATAACATTACTGCTAAAACTGCATAACTTCATTCCAGCATCCTTCTAACATTCCTTAATTTTACAATGTTTCTGTAGATAGTCTTTAAATTTCTTTCAATCTTCTTCTGCCGACTCTTCTCCCTGGTCTCGGATTCTGCCAGTCATTTCCGCCAGTTCCATGTACTCCATCACCTTCATCTGCCATTCTTCCCGGGTGGGTAGATCTTGTGTCTTCCAATACTTTGTGATAAGTATTCTTGCTGCTGTTGTAGCATACATTAAAAAATTTCTATCCTTCTTTAACACCAACTGGCCGACCATGCCCAGGAGAAAGGCCTCTGGTTTCTTCAGAAAGGTATATTTAAATACCTTTTTCATTTCATTATAGATCATCTCCCAGAAAGCCTTAATCCTTGGGCACGTCCACCAAAGGTGAAAGAATGTACCTTCAGTCTCTTTACATTTCCAACATTTATTGTCAGGCAAATGATATATTTTTGCGTGCCTAACTGGTGTCATGTACCACCTGTATATCATTTTCATAATATTCTCTCTTAAGGCATTAATTGAGCAACTATTACACGTGGATTTGGAGAAACCACTGAGGTTGGAGACAGACGCATCAGACAGAGCCATCGGGGCTGTTCTTTTGCAGTCAGGATTGGGCAAGCAAGAATGGAAACCGTGTGCCTTTTTCTCGAGGAAGCTGAGCAAGTCGGAACAAAACTACACCGTGTACGACCGAGATCTGCTTGCAATCTACGCTGCCTTTCGTCGGTGGCGCCATCTGCTGATAGGGCCCAGCGCAAGATCCAGGTTTGTACAGATCACAAGAACTTGGAATACTGGAGGACAGCACAAGTGCTCAACCAGAGACAGATTCGCTGGGCGCAGGAATTCTCCAAGTTTTCTTTTGAAATCCGGTATGTGCCAGGAGAGCAAAACGTGAGAGCAGATGCTCTTTCGTGAAAACCAGAGTACTTCGAAGGAGAGGGGCCGCCGGAGACACGACACATCATACCTGAGGACCAATGGGTGTGTGGGGGAACTCTAGTGGGCACGAGGGAACTGGCAGGGCTCACTAGGAACGATGAATTCGCCCGAACAAAAATCAGGGAACTCCAAAATGGGAGGGGAGCACCAGAGGGGTTTGAAGAGAAGGAAGGGGTGTTGTACTATAGGGGGGCGATGTACGTACCGGGGGAAGTTCTAAGAAGAAGGGTACTCAAACAACTACATGACACCCCCACAGCGGGACACTTTGGACAACACAAAACTATGATGTTGGTGACCAGACAATTCTGGTGGCCAAGGGTGAGGGAAGATGTACGAGAATATGTACGAGGGTGCGACCGCTGCCAAAGGGCCAAAGGGGAACGCATGGTACCAGCGGGTTTACTGGAACCCTTACCCACACCAAACAAACCCTGGGAGGTGGTGTCTATTGATTTTATGACGGATTTGCCCAAA